TCCACCCAGATAATAAAAACATTGGATGACGTGTAAACATATTAGTTACATATTCATGACGTCATTTTTAAACGAATGATAATTACAATATTCCTCTCGTCCCGGCTTTTCTATGCAGTAGTTCCAGGCAAAACTGTTTTTGAAATGTTTTGGAAAGGTTTCATGCAATTCTTGATCCTGATTTGATTGTTATTTGATTTTTTCCCATTGCTTCCGCACTAGATATACTAATTTAAAACATTTACGTAATACTTTTAATGGCAACAAGCAGAGTGTGGGGGGGGGGGGGGCTGGGAATGATCACAGTCCTAATAGAAGGGGACGTTAAGCTGTGGTCCACTGTTCATTGTACTTAATTGTTGAAAAGGCGGATAGGGGAATTTCCCTTGTACAATGAATCTGCAAATACTGGATCAAGATCACTTTCTTTTCCTTTTTTTTTTTTGCTAGAACACTTGAAATGGATCAATTGTGTGGATTTATTCGCGCTCTTTTTTTTATTCATTTATTTCAGCTTTATTACAACAAATGTAAAAGGTTGGGGGAAACAGGAACATACTCCTTTGTAATGCCCCCACCAATATAAACTAATAAGGATTACATAAATAATAAACAAAATAAACAATAACAGAAATCATAACAATACTATTTACAAGGGTGATGACAAAGAATTAACAAATCATATAATGAACGTTGAAGTAAATAGAACGGCGAGCCAACGATAAATAATGATAAATAATGTATCATTCGATAAGTAATAAATAATACATAACAGGTCGGCAGCAGCATGAGCAAAAACAGCAAATGAAAACAATAACGATGATAGTAGTGATAATAATAATAATATCAATTAGTAACAACATTTGATTTGAAAAGGTACCTAGCAAAATAATTCAAATGAATAAATAAATAAATCATAACAATGATAACAAGATATCTGATTGGGGTGATTAGAATGGAGAACACTTGCGACAAGGACACTGAGTAAGCCAGGTGCATATATTGTTTGTTCTCTTTGTTCTGTTCAAGGTGCGTGACAGGACAACATGGGGGTAAAGCTGCTGATCCTCCTCCTCATCATTCAGAAAGAACTCCACATGCCAGAAGCTCAATGCCGCTGTTTAACATCCGGGCCGCGGAATGCGAAGTACAATTTTCTTTAAGGTCAAGACCTCCTTGCTGTGATTGCGGGTCGCTAGGCCTCAGTAGCATTCCCCAGAATCTCCCCCCAAACATCAGATTCTTATATTTAAGAAATAATCAGATGACAAGCGTTCCCAAGAACCTTCCAAAATCCATCGATTACGTCGATTTGGGAATTAACCAAATAACTAGCATTCAGCCCGGTGTGATATCACATCTACCCCGGCTTCAATTCCTCAAGCTGGACAAAAACGCGATAACAAAAATTAAACCTGGCACTTTCTCAAATCACGCTAGGCTGCGCAGTGTGACACTGTCTTATAACAAGATAATAGCTCTCGGAACTGCTGCATTCTCAAATTTACCCAAGCTCCGTTCCTTGTATATGAGGCACAACCAGATACCATTCATCAAGGCAGGCACATTTTCTAATCTACCCGATCTCTTTTCCTTGGACCTGTCCTTCAACAACATAGCATCAATCCATCCAGCTGCATTCACTAATGCCAAGATCGCACGTTTGTGTTTGCATGTAAACCAGATGTCTGTTCTTCCCCTGCCTGTTTTTGCCATGTTGAAAAGAATTCAAATTAGGGACATTAAAGTTGGCACAAACCCTTGGCAGTGCGACTGTCAGATGGTTCCCTTGAAAATGAATGCATCTGCCTCATTCCAAAACCTCATAACGTGTGCCCAACCTGCCAACTTCCGTGGAAAAAAGCTTAAAGATATTGATCCGGAAAACCTGGTCTGTACAGAGACCACTGTATCAACACTGCCCTTTGATATTCATGCCTCAACTGCAGTGTTTCAATCTTCTTCACTTGGCAACACAGAAAGCAATGCTATTCCTACACAACATATCCTGTAGGCTACACATCTGCCAAACAGTCTTTTGTTAACCGAGTTGCTAGTAACTCTTACAGTGTTACTGCTACAACTCCACATTACCACTGGTACTTCAAAACCAACGCTGACTCAAAGGCAGACATAATTACAAAAGAGCCACCAACTGCACCCTTTGCCATCACTTCAGGGGGTTCCCACGAATCTGCCCCCAGTTTCTCCCGGTCGGTTCTCATTGGCGCTATGTGTGGTCCGTTAGCCGTAGTCCTGATTGGCAGTATCATTTTTAGCATTGCCAGGACTAGGCATCCTCCTTTAGGCCCAAATAATGCAAACATCACAGCTATTGCTACTGCTACTGCAGTAACTACTGGTCAAGATCACCAGTATGAAGATATTGACAACCTTCATGTTATGACAGGTCAGGATCAGTCTCAGACCAACACTAAACACATCACAAACACCACAGCTATTGTAGTGGCTAGTGGTCAAGATCACCAGTACGAAGATATGAACCAACATAATCAGACAGGGCAGGGTCAGTCTCAGACCAACACTAAACACAACACAAACACCACAACTATTGTAGTGGCTAGTGGTCAAGATCACCAGTATGAAGATATTGACAACCATCATGTTAAGAAAGGGCAAGGTCAGTCTCAGACCAACACTGAACGCAACACAAACACCACAGCTGTTGTAGTAGCTAGTGGTCAAGATCACCAGTACGAAGATATGAACCAACATAATCAGACAGGGCAGGGTCAGTCTCGGACCAACACTAAACACAACACAAACACCACAGCTATTGTAGTGGCTAGTGGTCAAGATCACCAGTATGAAGATATGAACCAACATAATCAGACAGGGCAAAGCCAGTCTCGGGCCATCACTAAACCCAACACGAACACCACAGAAATAATTAGTGGTCATGATCAGACAGAGAAGGAGGGCCTTTATCAGGCTACCTCTCAGTCCATGAGTGTTAGAAATCCAACATATACCACACGTCCATCTGTTTCACAGCCAAAAAGCCTGTACACAAGCGTACACATTCGATGTGGGTCTTCTTCACATTTCTATAAAATATAGTGGCCACAACAATTGGATTTATTGGTTTAATGGTTTGGGATTTCTTTTAGTATGCAGCGACAGGGCGAGAAAAAACTAGTCTCATTTGCAGGTGTTCGAATTCCGGGATCGGGTAGTAGGGGTTTTTTTTGGGGGGGGGGGGGTGATCAAACCTAGTGGACATTCCAATATGTCAGCAGAATGTATAGTGCCTGTGCGAAGCCCGCAATGTATTGTGTATAGCATTATTACTTATTTACTTACTTATTGTTTCAAGAGCATATTGTTTTATGGTGAATTTGCATAGGATCCCATCTGTATTCAAATGCTGTCTTAAAATAATGTAATTCCTTTTTTCACGGTACTTTAACGTCCATGGTTTTCACGAATCTGGACCTGGACCTAAACATGGGTTTAGGTACAAAGCACTACTTGTAAGTATAAAAACGTCACACGATTCATCATTTTCTATTATAAAGTATCTATCAAATTGAATAATTACTAATGTATAATCACCACGACTGTGGAGTTCGGGCCCCGAAAACAGTGGCCAGATTGTAATTATGTATTACTAGTACAAACTTTACAAAAGTACATAGAAATCGAAGCAAGTTAGTTTGTGAAGAGTTGTTGTATTTGTTGTGCTTTAAAGAAATTTATATCTGGGTAATACTAAATATATTTCGTTGTTGTGACTGAAGCATTCAACAATCTGTACTGTAAATATAGACGCATAACTAGAAAGGTAACATTTGCACATGTGTAATGTTTACCCTCGAATGGCCTAGCCAAAATGCATAATGTTTACCTACACATGTTCTAGCCTATCAAACTACTGCTCTGTTTATCCTTACCCAAACACATTCATCTAGATGTACAGTCAAACCTGCCAAGGTGACCACCTCTTCAAGCTGGCCACCTGGCCATGGTGACCTGTATGTGGAAGATGTTCATTCTACCACGGAATTAAGTCAAAATAAATGAATTTTCAGTAATAGGAAAATTCGACAGGAGTGTTTTGTTACATACTATGGTCACATAACAGCTTATTCGCCAAAACGTTTATTTGTCGATAACAGAAATACTCAAGTACCCTGTAGCTGCATTTTCGTCATTTTTTTTTACCGTGATTGAAATTACAAATGTAGTAGTCATAGACTTAGACGTAAACGTGCATAATGACTCCGTATGTTACAAGATTTTCTTTTTCTTTCGATGCCCAACATAACAAAGTAATAACGACTCTGGCATGTCAGAAGTGTGCCAGATCAGATTCATGACAAATGCAAAACTAGGATTTAAAAAAACGAAGGATTAAAGAACAACTTTATTTGCAACAAACAAAACTGGCTTTAGTATCAAGTACAAATGTATCAAATAAACGGACATTAACATACTAGCATACTGTAAATAATAACATACTAACTCAAATTGAAAAAGTGGCTTATCTACATCGTACTAGTCTCCACCAGACTTCTTTTGCAGGTGGTAGCAGGCCAATTTGATCGCCGATGGCTAGCTACCAGCTCTCGCCAATTAATACCCTTTTAGGCCGATTTCTACGATTTATTCAGCCTGCAAAAGAAGATTGATGGAGGCTAATATCGTATGTGTTCCTTCTATTCTCACAAAATGTATTGTTTTATTGAATACAGTAGAACACCTATAACTACTCTTTGTGTCCACACTTGAACATATGTAACAATATACCTACAGTTCTATTCTAATGTTTTTTTCTTAACTAAATGGATAAGTAACAAAACATGCACATCAACATCATGTTAAACATGAAACAAAAGCTGATAAGTAATGTATGTATTACTAATCTTAGTGAGAACCTGAATGTAAAAAATGCACTAGTAGCAAACTCACCAACTGGGAACTAAACTACTACTTCATACCTGCAAGTCAAATCCACCATAATTAACACAATAACAGCTACATAATTGATATAAGAATACACATGTGAAGAGAATATGAATAAGCAAGATGTTTTTCAAGATCTACAGATTTACTAAGTTTGTATGCAATACTTCACTACCACACCAGCATCTGTCCTGTAGTTCAACACATGGATACCCGTGCCATGTGCTTTTTAAATCTTAAGACTTCCATGTCATTCTCCATGCTAACAAGCAGACTGAGCTACAATCCTCAAACTTGCTTCTTGGGTTTCTTCCTTGTGTGAGTTTGCATGTGGGTCTTCAGGTTACCCAGAACACTGAACTGCCTGCTACACTCCTCACACCTGTAGGGTTTCTCCCCAGTGTGAGTCCGCATGTGTTTCTTCAGATCACTCCGCTGTCTGAACTGCCGGCTGCACTCCTCACACCTGTAGGGTTTCTCCCCTGTGTGAGTCCGCATGTGTTTCTTCAGATTGCCCAGCTCACTAAACTGCCTGCTACACTCCTCACACCTGTAGGGTTTCTCCCCCCAGTGTGAGTCCGCATGTGTTCCTTCAGATTACTCAGATGACTGAAGTGCCTGCTGCACTCATCACACCTGTAGGGCTTCTCCCCGGTGTGAGTCCGCATGTGAGACTTCAGATCACTCCGCTGTCTGAACTGCCTGCTGCACTCCTCACACCTGTAGGGTTTCTCCCCGGTGTGAGTCCGCATGTGAGACTTCAGACTACCCAGACGAGTGAACTGCATGCTGCACTCCTCACACCTGTAGGGCTTCTCACCAGTGTGACTCCGCATGTGAGACTTCAGATTACTCAGATGACTGAAGTGCCTGCTGCACTCATCACACCTGTAGGGCTTCTCACCAGTGTGACTCCGCATGTGAGACTTCAGATGACCCAGCTGACTAAACTGCCGACTACACTCCTCACACCTGTAGGGTTTCTCCCCTGTGTGAGTCCGCATGTGTCTCTTGAGATCACACAGGTTACTAAACTGCCTGTTGCACTCCTCACACCTGTAGGGTTTCTCCCCTGTGTGAGTCCGCATGTGTTTCTTCAGATTGCCCAGCTCACTAAACTGCCTGCTACACTCCTCACACCTGTAGGGCTTCTCACCAGTGTGAGTCCGCATGTGAGACTTCAGATGACCCAGCTCACTAAACTGCCGACTACACTCCTCACACCTGTAGGGCTTCTCCCCAGTGTGAGTTTGCACGTGTCTCTTCAGATTACCCAGATGACTAAACTGCCTGCTGCACTCCTCACACCTGTATGATTTTTTGCCAGCTACCCTGTCGGCACATCCCCTTTCTGATGCTCTGTTGATGTCATCAGGAGAGCCACTGCTGTTTGTTGCCATGATAAAAGCTGTATTCACCTCTGTGGTCATGGAAAATGAAGATGAATTAATCTTAACACAGTTACAGCAACCCATTTATCATAATCAGACATTGAAGATGAATATACAGTTGTACACTGTTCCAAATGTAACATTGTACATACAAAGTCTACTTTAAAAGTTGGTGCTCGCTGTGATTATTTCTATTTTCTTACACTCTACCAGTGCAGTTTGTATGAGCCTTTATTTATCCATGTACAATGTAAAGCTTAAAATAGCTGGCCTCGTTGATATCATGAGGGAAGAAGTATTTACTTTTTAGTGTCAGACAGTATTGCTACAGTAACTTTTTCGTATGAGGTAGAATATGAAAATAAATTTGTGTAAGCACAGGTACTCAGCTTGTATAATAATATATCATCATAATGTATTGTATTACCTGCAAGATTATATTTCATACAATGAAGTCTGATGAAACTGCTTCAAAAGGGTTCTGATGTCTGATATAACACAGGTGAAGCCTCACTTTTTTCCCTTCAGTGGGGTAGGCAGTACTGCTGGACTATGGAATTCCTGAGTACTCTGCAAAAGGAAAACAAAAGATTAATTTTATGAAAATAAATTGTTAATTAGACCGCCTGCATTTTGCCAAATTTTATATGGACTAAAATCATATTGGAAACTTGAGAAAAAAGATGTGGTGGATCAGATTAGAAGGCATGTGTAACCGAGGTGGACTAGCAAGAATACGCGCAGGACACAGTACACACGCACGGGAGTCATGGGGCGGGGCTGTCTTTCTCTGCGTCCTTCTCTTGAGCTCTCTCCGTCTCAGACTGGTCTCTCAAAACCCACAGAACACCCAGCTTTTAATATAATAATTCTCAAATCACAGACAAAGCCACAGATTGGAAGTCAATCGTCTGGCAAGGGGAACAATACAACATTTAGCACCTATATGACATGTCCTTGATGTACCAACGAAGGGATCAAAGCATCGAATTAGCATGACCAGATTATCACACTGGCCACAAAAACTTCAATAGCTGAAGGCCTCTTGCATTATACATAAAAGTGTCCTTTTCATTGAAATGCATGTGTAAGGCCTGTGTAAGGCGTTGAAAATTTCATCCCCTTACACCTGCATTTACTGAATATCACAAAGTCAAGGCTGTTTTTATATACCATATCACAGAAATAAAATTAAGAATAAATGAAATAAAATCCCCCTCAGTACAAAAAGCTTGACGTAAACTAGATAACGAATCACCCCTAACTCTAACTCATACGGTAACACTACATGTGCAACAGTTAATGAACCGCCCCTCGACATGTAATGGCAACCGGCAGCTGTTCGGGCGGGATGGCCATTTCTCGAGGCCCCTGTAGGGGTTTACAGAATATTCTCAGAAATTCTGTATCTCCAAAATTAAAACTGAAATGCCCATTTCTCTGCACAAATAAACTAATGGTTCTATTTTTGAAAGGCGATCTTATTTCCTGTAGGACATGTAAGTATTTTTGTAGTGAGTTGTTTGAAAATTTAATGAGATACCGCAAGTCCGTAACCCCTTATACACCTTTCCTTCTATGCTATGCTAATTATAACAGCAACAAAGCTAAAATTCCGCTTGCGTTCTTGGTACGCGTGTCGTTCTATACTGCTGGCAGAACATCGTTTGTAAACACGAACTCGTTGCTTTTCAAACCATATATAACATGTTACGTGTACGTGTAGAACTTGTCACCTCGACGGTGGCAGGCACTCAACTTTTGAGACCTTGAGACCGGGTTAAACAAAGTTGTAGGTGTTATTCTCTTGTCACAGCAATAACAGTGGAGTAGACAAGCTGTTCGTACGTACCTGAGTAGTCAAGAGGATAGAATCCCGACAAATTTACCCTGAAATAGGACGAAAAATGACGAGAAACGCTCAATATTCTCTCTCCCACCACGACGCCTCCTGTGTCAAGGGAGCCCGGTAGAGGATACAAAGATTCTTTATTGACACAACAAAAAAGTACAGAGACTTTTGTATGGTCTTCTACAACTTAACTAAAGATCTAACAAAGCTAAATACATGTGTGGATAACGTCATCTTACGTACAGAGTATATGTATGATGTAACAATAAAGGTTAACTATTCTCTAACATGTGTTCTCTAAGATCAAAACATTCTTTAATGTATTTTCCTATTTGAACACTGTATTGGTTATCTCCCCTTAGAATGTAGTTGCATTTATCTATAGGATCTAATATATTGAAATCAATTGAACAAGCGGAAAGAAAGGTGAACAGCAATCGGCGCTTATCATTGTATAGTGTACAATCCATTATAAAATGGTGCTCATTTTCGATCAAGTTTGGACAAAATGGACAGAACCTTTGGTCATTTGGTATTTTCTTGTATCGACCTATTTCTATGTTTAATTTATGACAAC